ACTCGAAATTTCTTTTTTAAATCGAGAAAATTCAATGCCTAGGAAATATTTCAAATTCTCTAAATCTTTGATAAAGAATTTCTCGAGTAAACAAGTCTTGAGATGTTGAATTTCTTTAAGATGATTGTTTGTCAAAAGAACATCATCAACATAGATAAGAACGTCACGGAAAAAAGTACCTCTATTCTTAGTAAATAAAGATTGATCAACTTTTGACTGAGTGTAGCCTGAATTTTGTACAGGGGTAGAGAATATGGAGAACCAATTACGAGAAGTCTGTTTTAACCTAAAAGACTTATGTAGCAGACATACTGTATTCTCCCCTTGTCGGCGAAGACATGATGGTAAAGACATGTATATTTCATTGTTTAGATTACCATGGAGAAAGACATTTTGAACATCCAACTAATGAGTGAACCATTTTCTAACAACAATAATAGATCGTTGACAAGACGGTAAAATCTCACGTGTATATACGAGATATAGAATACAATTATAGTACCTTCATATGTAATCGTGTACGTTTTATTACTTATCCCTTAAGTTATAATTCATATTTGACTTATTGTTAGGTTAGGTTTATATTGCATATACATAAAGAAGTAATTTAATGGAAGATTTGTGTATCTATTTGTCGACTTGTTAATTTTGTACCTTTTACTTAATTTACTATATTTAGTTTTTGTCTTGTTGGTAGAGTAAAAATATTGAACGTTTGTGGTATCGTGATATTGACATGCTCATGATAAGTCTTAAGGAGAACTTAAGTCCCGTTTTTATTTTTTTGTTCAGCTTTGTAGCTTTATCGAACCTTAGACGAGGTTTTTCTTTGTCAACCGAACATAACTCAAGTAGAATCTAAGCTTATTTGGCAACACATGTCACTCGTACATGCATGTTCAATTGTCTGCTACTTTAGCCCACTTACCTCATCTCAAGGTCAAGTCCACTCTAGGTCAGGGTCTCTCATATGCAATGTCGCATCTCGTCCTGTCATTATCTTGCCATCTAGGTTTTCAACAACATGGCCCACGTATCGTGATGACATTACAATCTCGAGATGTTATTGACCCTTATTGCTCGTTCAAACACAATTATCAAGAACCGACCTCATAAGTCAACAATATCATCAGGACATCTCAAACATCCATTCGTCCAAGTTCTATCGAGGCACGAATCCTCTTGTGACCATGTTGAGTCATTTATAGATACCGTATTGAATTGCGGGTGCATATATTAACCTCGACACATGGGTTGGGGCGTAATGTAGGCATTGCTCATGTTGCCTGATATTGTCCTTGAAAATTTTATTTTCAAAGAAAGACGCCCACAAGGTAGCTCAATTGGGCCACAAGGTCGATAGGTGATATAGAGATAACAACATATCTCTCCCTATAGTACATTTTTGTAACGACCCAAAATTTTGAATGCGGAAGACTTCATTTAAATTCCATAAAGCATAACCTTTATCTTAAAACATAGCCATGAACTTACATGTTTCGAAAACATCTTTAAAACGACATAACAAAAGACTAAATAAAATAAATAAGCGTTTAAGTTTAAAACATCTCATTATAACGTAAGTCTAAGAAAATAAATACCACTATCCTATGTGTTAAGGATATTTAGTAATAAATTATAGTTTACCATATATATTATATTTGATATTTTATTATAAGGCAAATATTAGATATTTGTCTTATTATCATAGGTATCTTTCTATTTATTGTTATTTCCATTTATTACTATTTCCATATCCTTATAATTCATTTGATTATAAATAAGATAACTTTCACACTATTTAGGTGTGGTGGATTAATCAAACATTCACACTATGCATGTGCCAGGGTCTCGAGTTGCAATGCTGTCGTCAGCCGTACACGAATGACTTGCCTTAACTTGAAAAATGTAGTAGCACATGACTTGAGTATTTAAAGAAATACCGAGTAATGACCCCACTATTGGGGTTAAATGCTAGAACATGTGAATGCAATGACGGGACCTATCATTTCAATCTATTTTCCTATGGTACTGTCCTAACGGGTAATTTGGACGTGTACCATATACTCTACACACAGCCCATACATGCGGGTATGGGCTCACCAGTCAGTTCGCACACCGCTGAGCCACCTTACTTGTCGGGCGAGCATACACTGGGACGTTCCCTATGGACACCCATTAGAACTAGTAATCGTCACGACAGCGCTATGCAAAACATAACGATCGTTGTCCTACCATTTGATATATGCGTCGGTACCCTCATGATGGAATATGGGAATCCCTCTAAATGCATGAGCACACATAATGCATGAGGTCCCAACATTTCTACTTTTATCATTAATGAATATAACCCCGCTATCATCTTTCATGCTTAACATGTCATTTCTCATTTTTCAGTCTATGTATCATACATAATCCTAACGAGGTTACATTTCATTTCATTTCATTTACGGTGATATCATGTCATTCATAACATGTTGTATACATACAATTTAGAAAACATAACATAAACGCTCTATGTTTTTAACATGTCGTTTCATAACATGTAATTCATACAACAATTACCTCAATGATCACACAAAACAATCTAAAAATAACATATCACATCACAATATATCGTATCATAAACATGTCATATCGTAAACACTTCGTGGTCATATCGTTCCCTGACTTATCATAGCCATCACAATCATATCGTTACGTGAACGTACATTAGTCATATCATCACAGGAACGTATCCTAACGCTATCATTCTATCAATCTATCACAAACCTATCCCTTTCTACCCATATCCTAACCATATTCTTTCATTAATGTCCCCTGTCCATGACACTCTGGTATGTAACCTAACCTTAACGTTTCATGAACGTATATTACTCTCATCGTTACATTTCGTTTTGTGCATCTTTCTCGTATCCTATCTCAAACATATCCTTGAACACATTGTACCATAATTATTATCATACAATTCACATATTTTAACATAACATAAACATAATATAAGCATACCGATTCACAGATAATTCACACATATCAGTATATATAACACATGCAGAATCACAGGCACGTGTCAACATCAAATATAAACATGTCGATAGTAATGCCATTTACCTGGTTAGCTTAAGTCGTTGTCACGAATATATCCTTAATGAAAGTTCGATTCCGTCCTTTGAAATCCAAACCAACCTATGTGAGCCCATAACATCAGTTTCAAGTTTGAACTCTATACAATTATTTCTCTAATTTATATTGGTCAACTTCGACAAAATTTAATGGAGTTACTTACCTTCACATATTTCTTGTTTTATTTTTAAATGATGTTCAACAAATCTTTCCTCAATCTCCCTTCCTCCCTCCCTATAATTATTTTCATAAATAGATTTTCAATTCATATTGGTTGATAGGATATTACAGATTTATAGATTTGACAACTAAAATTTTATTTATTCTAACCTTATTTCCTATTCTAAAAAAAAAAATCCGACCAAAATCTCTCCAAGTAAATCTGCATCATATCTGCTTGGAAAAGCCATTTTATTTTTTCTCAAACATCTGACATTTTTATTTATTTTTAGGTCAACTGTGATATTGTGAGTGGTAAGGAAGGAAGCTGCTGGATGAAAGGTTAGTGGAAAGAGGGGGTAAATTTTATTTTATTTTTATATTTTTATTTGAAGTAATCTTTTTTAGTTATTTATTTATGAATTATTATTATTATTATTTTGACGTATATATATTTTTATAATTATTTTTATTTTATTTATTTATTTATTTTTATTGTTATTATTATTTTTTGGGCTATTACAATTTTGAAGCATTTTTTGATCGGGCAAAAGTAGATGTGATTTCATAGCGATCTTACAGCCTCGTGGAATGTTTATCGAGTGACCCTATTAACACCAAATTCGGTGAGCTTTCATCTTTCATGTAGATAGACTTAACTCTAGAGTCGCATGTCGAAATTCATACTAGAACCTCGACTTTTGAGTTGAAGGCCCAATCCCTAATTGATCCTTCTTCAAGCCTATCTTTGACACTCTTGTCTATCTTTTGTTTTTGTCTTGTTTAAGCCTCAACTTGGCTTCATTGCACACTTCTCTTGGTGTGTTGGATAATGCACTGTCCTCCTTGGTTGCATCATAGCACCTGTCTATCTTGACCCTCATGTGGTGGTGCCACTTGAGGGTCGTCACCTTATTTGTTTATATGTGAATGTCACAATCTACTCTCTTCTTAATATAGTTATGACACCCATCACGCACTTTTATGCAAGCCATCGGGATCCTACATGGGCAACCACACACTTACACCTTGGCAATAACCTAAATATTCATGTTCGGAAGTTGTTAATATGTTTTTATGATATATATATAAAATAAATAAAAGATAAGGTCAAGCCATATGACTTGGTATAGAGTAGAGATAAGTCAGCTAGCATTACAACAAGTGAACATATGCACACAAGTGGTGTATGGTCAAACAAGCATAGTTTCTGCATGTTCGGTCGGCCAAGAAGAACCTCGCCTAAAATTCAATGAAAGCGCAATGTTGCTCGAAAAATTATAACGAGACTTAAGTTCTCTTAAAACTTGTCATGTATGTACGTATGTATGTGTGTGTATAATAAAGGCAAGGATAACTTGGTCTAGAGTAGAGGCAAGTCAGCTAGCATTGCACCAAGTGAACATGTACGCACAAGCGTCGTATATGATCAAACAAACTTAGTTTCCACATAAGTTGTGTTCGGTCTGCGATAAAGAATCTTGCATGAGGTCGGGCGATGTGGCTTGAGTTTCACCTAAAAACTTGTTACGAGGTGTCAAGATCATTAAAAATTTAAGGAATTCGAACCATTTAAAAAAAAAATAAATAAATAAATTTCCGTTATTTTAAGAGGTAGAGAGAGAGAGAGAGAGAGAGTTGTTATTGTGCCGCCAATAGCAACGGTCATAGAAATTTCCCTGAAATTCACTTCACGTCCATAACTAACTATTGACCCCAAAAGCATCGATGTTTCTTTGTTTTGCCCTACAATGGCGGCCATCTTTCCTCCAAATTTGGGGCTCACAACCTCCCTCCAAATCTCTCTCTTCTTCCTCCTCCTCCCTATCTTCCCCTTCTTAATTCTACCTTCCGCTCTGACTTGCCCTAATGGACGCCATCTTCACCTCCCGTCCACCTTGAATTCCACCTCTTTTTTGTTCTCAAAGGCTTTTCTAGGGCATTCCATATCTCTGATTTTTCCAACTCTTTAACGGCTCGGGATTGGGTGCCCTAGAACTGTCTGCTCTTCGTTGTCGTCTAGGGAGCTTATGATCATCATCTAATCCTGGTAATGTCTTGGTTTTTATCCCTTTTTCTTTTTTTTTTTTTTGGTGCTTTCTGGTTTCTTTGTGCCTCTGTTTTGTAATGTAGTCGAACGCCTCACTGAAAATTGTGGAAATCAAGCAAATGGTTTGTTAATGTTAACGGAAAAAAGAAATTTGCGATTGTTAACTTTGCATAATGGATCAAGGAAGGTAAATCCATTTTTCTCAAGTAGACAAGTTTTGTTTCCTTTTTCGAGATCTCGATTTAATTTCCTAAGCACCTCATCCTCCAGAAGCTAACTTGCAGCCATTCAATTCGTCATTCAAACGTAGAACGTGTAAATTGTCACGTCATGAATCATTCATTAGAGTGAAAAGACTGAAACTAACACGTGTCATTTATCCGAAAGGGGATCGGAAAGTAGCAATTGGTGCATGTATGCTATCTTGGACTAATTGCTTTCTCCATAGGTAGCTCTACCATATATGAGGAGGAACCTGTCACAGTGATCAAATGGGGGCTAAATTTTCAAAGCCGAGTCAGGCGAAGGTGGAAAACCTTAGTCTGCAACACCATCTCATCAATTATCTATCAAAAAGCTTTTACATCCGTAACTTGGTATCCAAGCAAAGGAGGCGCATGCTTGTTGCCGGCTATGATCTTGACATGTCATACATCACAGATCATGTTCTGGCAATGTCATTCCCTGCCGAACGTATGCGTGCAATGTATCGTAACCCCCTATGGCAGGTAAAGTCCGTATTGGACATGAGGCATCAAGGACACTACAAGGTATCATTCTGACTGCTTAATTATAAATCATTCAATCTATCATATCTTTTACTAAACTTGTATACAAAACTCTTTTTCTTGGAAACTGATTATAACCAGAAATTTTATGTTAAAATTGCAGTATGTAATGTAAACATGTCCTAATAGTAATGGAATTTTGAGATAGCATGAATTTATAAACGATTCATGATAATATTTTTTTGTTATAGCGGTCTTTATACTTCTAAGAGCTTATCCCTTCCTGTTATATGCCATGGAAAACCTCCATGACTCAGATGCATCTTGATATTTCTTTTGGGACAATGCAGATCTATAATCTTTGCATTGAAGAATCATATGATCCATCACATTTTCATGGGCGTGTGGAGTCATTTCCTTTCGATGATAATCATGTTCCACCTCTACAGATGATCAAACTTTTCTGTGAAAATGTCTCTTCATGGCTATCATCCCACCCAAAGAATATTGCAGTTATACATTGCATGGTAATTGTGACCTCCTAGACAAGTCTAAAATGGTTGTTCTAGTAGATTTTCCCCAACCCTTTCAGTTTCTTCATTTCCTCCTACCTGTTCGATGCTATAAATTGCATGGTAATTTAGTAGATCTAGTATGATTATAATATTTTGTCAGTTGAAATAGTTTCAAGGAAGATTTTGCTTTTATGCATACAAGATAATGTATCTGATAGCTTTGCTCAATCCAAACAAATTGAGCTATTATCATGAGACAAGCCTACCCTCCCAGTTTCTGGTTGAATGGTTGTTTTATTGCTGCTATTTTTGTTTTGATTTTTTCCACAGATCAAAAATGGTTACTGTTTACAGGGTTAATTTATTTTGCATCTAAATAGATTTACGTTGGTTCCTAGTTTTAGGAAGAGTCATCAGATATAATTTCTTTAGTACTTGGGGTATCATTGAAAGCCATCACACAGCTACCGAACTATTGATTTAAAGCCAGGGGAAGAGCATGACTGTTGTTAGAAAGAAAAACTCTGGAACAAGAAATATAAGAAAAACATTTTCATGTCTTTATCTTACTTATTTTTTTGCTCACTTCATTTTTAGTTTCAAACTACTTGTAACTACGTTTCAGGCTGGAAAAGGTCGAACTGGATTGATGGTATGTGCCTACTTGGTTTACTGTGGCATGTCACCAGAGGATGCACTTCAGCTGTATGCTCAGAGGCGGACTACCAATAATGAAGGAGTAAGTCATGTTAGGTACTAGAATTTTATGGTAGTGTGGCATCGTAAGATGGTTAGATTTAGTATCATAAAACTTTGATTTGAAAATTCAGTTCTCTTTTGTTATTAATAATGGACTATTAAATTTAGCAATCATAGACTGAGAAAGGGGTAGGACATTGACCTTTCCATGTGCTAAATTACTATTTAACTCGAATAATAAAGTATTTTTCCCATAAATTTGATTTTATTACATTCTTACTATTTTCTCAGTTGTGAGCTTAATTGCAGCTATTTTAACGATGTTAACACATGGATTCTTGATATGAACTAGAACTAGAATAAATCTCATCATTTATTATGATCTTAACAAGAATAGGAAGACGGAGTTGCCATGTCTTAAATCTAATGAAGAGGGATAAAGACAATAACCTATTATATGAAATGAAGAAAAGACGAGGCAAGTAGTTCAAGGTATACTGTGAAGATTAAAAGTTTGGTTAAGGGAGATAAAACAGCCGAGCTCAATGAAACAGTTTGTTTTCTATTTTGTCACCATATCTTTTCTAATGTATTTATTTGTAAGTTTAATGTAAAAATCTTAAAGTGTGGTGCTTGGTTATTCACATTGATATTTTCTTCTAATGTTAACAGGTATCAATTCCAAGCCAACGACGGTATGTGGGATACTGGGCAAAGTGTCTTTCCTTTCCCAAGGGAGTTTATAATGGACCACCCGAGGTGAAGTTGCCCAAACCGTGTAGGAGAGAGTTGCAGAGAATTCGTCTTTATGACACAGTTAACAGTGAATCAATTTTCTTTGTTGTCTCAGAATTGCAGGAGGTAATTTCTATTTCAATTACTTCTCACACTATCCTTCATATGTTGATAATCTCATTTCTTTCATTGCTTTCATTGCGAACCTTAATTTACTAACTAATGAAAGGAACAAAACACTATATCATCTTCTTTTTGCTTACATCAAGACTTCATGCGTTAATGTTTGTAGATTCCTTCTCAGCTGTACCGTCCATCTATGGAACTTACCAGGAATCGTTGCAGACAATTCAAGAAAGGTTATGAGAGAAATGACAGTCCTCGTTACTTTTTATCTTTTGTTGAAGGCGAAAACGAAGGGAATGAACCAGAACTCGAACCCCATCTTGTTGTTCAAATGGACACCGAGTGTTCTGCACTGTACCACAAAACCTGCCTTGACTACAATTTTGAGAAGCCTCTACCAGTAAGTCACAAGAAGGCTGCTCTTTCTACCATTACTTTTAACATATCATTTGAACATCCTTTATTTGATGCACACAATGTACAAATTACTTGGAAAAAACTAATTTTTTACATCAAATTTGCTACATTTCTTTTGGCAACAATTCAGTAGGCCTTGCTTTGGGAACACGTTGATTGAGTTCTACAAGACTCATAGAAGATTCAAAAGTGCTCTTAGCTAGCTAACATTAAATTCTACAGTGTTTTATTTTGTTCACTTAAAATGCGCTTCAAAGTACGTTTGTCTGTCCTTTCTTTTGTTAAGTTATGTAATTTGACTGTAACAGCTAACTGGAGATGTGCGCATCATATTCTACGCAAAGATGTTCGGAGGGCGTCTCTTCTATGCTTGCTTCAACACAGCTTTCATTAAAAACAGCTTGCTACAGGTACTTCTTTGACTCTGATTTTCGACTGCTTCTAAATCCTTGCTCTGCTCTTGAAAATTATGATGTCATACAACATGGGAGCAACTCTTTGTCTTGAAGGCTTGAACTTGCACTAAATAGTGCGATAGAATTCTCACATTTAAGGCTCACATTTAGTTCTTATGGTTTGTGTTGGCTTCAATTATCCCTATGGTTGAGATGATTTTGTCAAATCTCTTAAAATGTACCTAAAGTGACCAAATATATGTAGTTTTCTCATGTGACAAAGAAAGAAATATATTTATAAGGTGAAGAGAGACAATAAGCTAACATCCAAAGAAAATGGGGTTGGGTAAGAGAACCATCAACATTTAGTCAATTATGGAAGTTTGATAGATATAACTAAACAACTCATAAAACTATAAGAACCAAACTGAAACCAAACACAAATTATAGGATTAGGCAAAGTGAGACTCTTCTGATTCACCCTTTGATTGATGCATATAACAGCTGAGGTTGCCGGATTTGGACAAAGTTGGGAAAAAGGGAAGGTCAATTTGTGGTCCTTCCTTCTGCTTGGAGTTGGTATTTGGTCCTGCGAATGCAAAACACTCATTTTTTACTTCCTCAGATGACGAAAATGCTAGTGATGATGTTTTAAAATCTCAATGTTCTTCGTCAGACAGATCGGAAGCGAACATTTTGAAATCACATTATCTCTGGTAATCAATCATCTCAATGAGCTACCAATGATTTTCTCAGTTTGCTAACAATGATCTTCTCAGTGATCGAACAATGATCTTCTCAATGAGCGAACAATTCTCTTAAAATCATCTCTGTATCCATTGGACTTTTCTATTGGTGGAAGGCATTAGGAGGAATGAGCACGAAATTTTGTATGCTTAGACTATGAAATTTTGCAGGAAAGGAAAAGTTCAATGAAAAAAATCAGTTTTGTATATACTTCAAGGTGACCATGATTCAACTTTTATGAACCTATCTCTTGTGCCTATTCCAAGTGTTTTAAATGTTCAAGTTAACATATTCATATGCAGCAAGATTTCATTACAAAATTTGTTTTTTTTTTTCAATTAATTAAAAACGCTGGTATGAAATTGAAAGAATATCTCAAACATGTCATTAATTCTGTTGGATTCAAAATCCATTTTATGAAAATGCTGGACACTTTAAGTTTCATAGTTAAAAGTTTCATCAAACCTTCTAATATTTTATATACTAAATTATGTTCAATATTGACAGTGCTGGATAATCTATTAACAAACTAAACTATGGAGTGTGACACTCAGAAATCTAAAAATTACAATATTTCTACGAATTACAAACCAAACCAAAGATGATATATAGAATAATAATTCAAACTAAATTGAGATTAGAATACGATAAATTATTACGTTAGGAGGCAAAATTTATGCAATCTTTCAACTGTGGGATATATTTCAATCATGAACTTTGAAAAGTTTTTACCTCATTTATAAAACTATTTATGTAAATTAATGTAGCAACTAATGTGTAAAAATTGATTTTGTAGTTAATTTTAATGATATATTTTGACATGAAATTGTAACAGAGCAATAGGGCGAGCTTATAAATAAGCTGGGATCCCTTTTCCTAACCATTTCATTTTTTATTTTAAATGAAGCGTAATATCTATTTCTTTTTACCTATGTTTTTAAAAACATATGATTTTCAAATTTTTTTTTTATTTTTTTTATTTGGTATCCGAAAAGGAGGATCCGCACAAAATCGATAAACAAAGAAAAAAGCTTGAGATTAATTCCAATTGATTCTTAATCCCCATGGAAAGCTCTTCATGTCCTACGAAAACAAAAAGAAGAATGAGGAAGAAAAAGAGAAAAGAAAGATGAGACGATTCGAGATCAGCGAGTGCAATTATTACGAGAAGCAGAAGCTCCTCCCTTAGCTAAGACTCGTTAGGCTACTTTTTACCCATGTTTTACAAAACTTGGATAAATTTTAAGTGAAGTTATTTTTTGTTTATAAAATTTAGTTAAAAAGTTCAACGTTTTGAAAGAAAGTTAAAATACACATAAAAAAAAGCGAACACAAATTTCAAGAACTCAAAAAAAAAAAAAAAAAAAAAAAAAA